TGGCCCTCCTTTCTGTAGGAGGATCAAAATATGGAATTTTGACTATTTCCAGAATTTTCAAACAGTTTTAATAGTCCATTATCATGGGAAAAATATACGAGTGAACTTTTTTTCGACGGGAAGTCGAAGGGACCGCTCACAGCGAGGGCGGCACTTAGAAAATTTCGCCGGCAAGAGACTGGCGCCGATTATACAATAGGCTCCTCGCGTTCGGCCCAACACTCAATGTGCGATGAGCCATTCAATAGTGAAAGTTATCCAATATCTGGAAGTAAGCCATCCAATATTTGGTAGTGGGCAATCCAGTGTGTCAGCCACTCAATTTGGTCAGCCATTTCAAAGTGAACCATCCAACATTTGGTAGTGAGCCATCAAGTTTAAAAGTGAGCCACTCAATAGTGAGCCATCCAATTTGTGAGTCATTCAGTTTGGAGAGCCATTCAATTAAGTGAGCCATTTAATAGTGAGCCATCCAATATTTGGTAGTGAGCCATCCATTTTAAAAGTGAGCCACTCAATAGTGGGCAATCCAATTTGTGAGCCATTCAATTTGGTGAGCCATTTAATGTGAACCATCCAATATTTGGTAGTGAGCCATCAAGTTTAAAAGTAAGCCACTAAATAGTGGGCAATCTAATTTGTGAGCCAATCCAGTTTGGAGAGCCATTTAATGGTGAGTCATTCACTTAGGTACTACTCATTTTGACACAATCCACCCACAATATACGCATGCAAAGTCGTACAGGACACTCGAAACTGCCAGCTTGGCAACTTACCCTCTGACAGGTTTACAGATTTTCTATAATTTCATTAACTTCATTTTATCAAATTAGAAGAAAACAACTTGCCTTCGATATTTTTCTTGCCCGAAATAAACTGGATTTAACCGCAAACATATCCTGTAGTTAAAAAAAAAGCAAAAGGCAACGATTGTAGGAAAAAGAGCATTTCACTTTGTGATTTAGCTTGATCAGATCACCTGCATGATTTGTTCTTCCCTTCCTCCGCCCTTCCCTCTTAATCAAACGTGTTAGAACTCTTGTTTCCATTCGACATTTTCCAGTATCGTAATCATGAGGTGAAACAGGAGCAACATAAGAAATTTACTGACTATGTGATATAGCGTGTATAAGCTTTTCTGAAAAGGAATATTACACGGAATATTTACACTTGTGTATTTTGCATGTAGAGCATCATAAAACATTATCTCACATCGCGCTGGCCTTTTCCACACTTCATTTTTTTCCGTTTTCTTTCTCTTTTTTTAATCAAAATATAAACGAAATGTGTTTGAATTCTTGTTTCCGGTGTATCGCGCCTTTAATTTGATCCATTGATACCCATGGTTACATTTTAAAATATTATTCAAGTTTTGTTGTTGGCCAAGCTCTAGCGCAAAGTTTATATATGCAAATCTCAGTGAAACGGTAAGTGTTGTTTACAATTGACGAAATACGTTCAGAAATGAAAAGGGAATAATTATATGTTTGAGAAACGTAAATGGATAGTACAAATATTATGTATTGCCAACAGGTTCAGCCTGGTTATATTGCTAAATCGGGACTTAATTATTACCAAACTTCTGCGTACTTCCGTGACACCGGTGTAAACTTTCAGAGGTCCTCTAAGTTGGAACTGAAAAAGATCTTTAATTGAACAACATTTGAGGGGAAGACATTTCGGGGACGACAAGTGCGTGTGCGATTGAGTGATATATTTACTTTGTAAATAAATTCGCTTAAGGTTCGATTTGCATATATAAAAAGACGGTGATAATTGTTTTTCGTTAGCTGTAAGTTATACTGAAGCACCGTCATTTGTAAGCTTTTCATGATAGGGTGGCCGCCAGAATGACAATATCACAAATGAGTACCGACAACTGTTTGACAGTTTTATTTCCTTCAAGCTGACAAGTTCACTGCCAAATCACTATCTTTTTCTTTTAAAATGTCCACGGAGTGTTGGCGTAGCACAGTGGAGGTACTTAATTTTCTGAAGGTGCCAAGCAGGTGCTATATTGCTTATAACATTTTCTCACGATTTGTTGGTGGTTAAAGAACCACTGATTCGATGCACAGCTACATTTGAGGCCAATTCAAATCTAGAACAGTAAATGGACTCCTAGCAAACTACAGTGTGATTCTAATGATTGCACACTGGATACTTAGTGCTGAACGCCAGGTTTAAAATTATCTGCGGCAAACAATTTCATTTGTTTTAATTGTTGTCAAACGTTGCTCATTCTATGTTCTTGCCTCATCATGGATTTACTCGAATCGCTTTCTCACGAACTTGCCAAAAGAGGTAACTATCTGCTCTGGATTGAAACAGTAATGTTTAGCATTATAAATGTCGCAGCTTTCCTTGGAAATCTGTCAGTCTGTTACGCGGTCTACCGAAACCAAAGACTCCGCACACTTTCCAATATGTTCGTCGTCGCGTTGGCTGTGAGTGATATTCTTATGTCAACCTTTTGTATGCCATTTTCTGTTGTTACTTTGATTCGAGGCCAGTGGATCTTTGGTGACAGCTTTTGCCGGTTCCATGGGTTCGGAGTGTTTACATTTGGACTGGCATCTTTGCACACCATGGGATTAATTGCTGTAAGTCGATATTTCTGCATCGTAAAACCTGAGAGGTACATCGTGTTATTTAAAAAGCAAAAAATTCTGCTCTACATCGGTGTTGTCTGGTGTACCGCTTTCATTGGTTCCGTTCCACCCTTTCTATTCAGTCATGGTGGGTTCGAATTCCAACCAGGCAAGGCCATGTGTTTGTACACATTCGACACCAACATAGCCTACACCGTATTCATCGAATGCGTCTACGTCGCGACACCTTTGACATTAATAATAGTCTGCTATGCAAAAGTGTTCTACACGGTGTCACGATCCAATCAAGTTTTCTCATTGGAAAATAACCCCCAGGTGCTAAGAGCTAACGTCGAAGAAGCAAAAGTCACCAAAACTTTAGCAGCAGTGATGGCTGGTTTTGCTTGTTGTTGGCTTCCAGTGTGCATCATCGACTACACTGATGCAGCCTACGGCGAACCCACTCTGCCCAGACAAGCTTACCTTACATACGGTTTCTTGGTCTATCTGAGCAGTACAATCAACCCGTTCATTTATGGAGCCACAAATAAGCATTTCAGACGACAATACAGAGTGATTTTTAACAACATGTTTTGCATGAAAGTATGTCGCTGCTCCGAAACGTTTGACGCGGACTATTCCAGCGATTGTCGAAGACACGGCCCCAAGGTACAGATCACAAGCTTGGCATAAATCAACCGAAATATTGCAAACGATTGAACGTGAATTTGACATTTCTTTAGACTTTTGGACTAGTTGAAGCCTACTTAGTGCCATTGTCACCTTCATGATGCAAAGTCAGCTTACAGACTCGGGAGTCAGCTTAGGAGTTTTGTGGCTCTGCTTGTCGAACCTTGTCAGCGCTGATTTCCTTTAGCATGAAGCGAAGCATGTAATGCTTCTTCCCCCCTGGATACCATGCCATTCCATCACTTTCCCATCAGCCAAGATTTTTAAGCTTCCCAAACTGTTTTCCAGTGGCTTATTTATATTCCTACATATAGAAGAAGCATGGTGGGTATTTGGTGTCTTGACCCCTCAAAATAACACGACAACCTGATCAGGGCATCATGCCGTAGCCCACATCGTGTTGCCTAAAATATCTTACAACATCTGTCACGAATATGAAGTTGTCGGCAAATTTCAGCACCTTTCCTCCAAGGGGGCCAACTATCACCGACATAGACCTGTGACTATCAATGTGCTTCACCCAAGTATTCGTCCTCTCAGCTACACAATATTATCTGCTTTTCATAGTTGGACGAGATGACTTTTTTCCTCGTGTGATAGATTTTTAAAGTGCAGCATTTCATAGGATGATCGACGCGCTCATGGTTGGAAGTACTAACCCTAAGCAAAGTTCTGGGTTGAAACCCATGCATTATCATTTTCCGGTAATGAAGACCGGACACGTTTCCTACTGTAACTATATGTTTTAACAATGACATCAGGCTTTCCCTACCCAAGGAAGACTAGCTTGGAGCTCTCAAACGAATGGAATTTAACTCAAAAAAGACACAGCCTGAAGATTGAAACACAGACTTTTAATCTACCTTTCACTTAAAGGAATATCGTGCAAAAATCCGCAAAAAATCGGTAATAACGCTCTATTTGTAACGACTCTGGCTTTCTTTGCATCACCCTTAAAATATAACCACAAAAGTGAATCATACACATCCAAATACAAATCTAAATCAAAACGGTTGTCAAAGGGGGGAAGACTGTAAAAGTTTAAAAACTTATATAAGAAGCAAAAAACGAATGTAAATAGAATGTTCAATATATAACTTAAAACAAGAGATTTTGTAAAAACTCTTGCTTAAAAATACAAAATTGGTTTAACGCTTCCTGCACACAAGTGCTGTGTGGGTTACGCAAGAGTGGGTGTTTTAAATTTAACGCAATAAGATTTTAAAATTATGACAGCTACAAATACAGTTCATAAATCCATGCCATTCTGAAATTTACCTTGATGTGATTTTGCTTCCAATAAAAGTCCTGTAAGAAAGAGTAGCAATTGACGTGATTCAACTTGCTAAGTTGAAAACTGACGTGAAGCGATGTCAGTGTTATTTATGACATACCCAAGAACCTAAACTTCAATTCCTTCATTTTCTCTTTAATTATTCGTTTTGATAATCTATTGCAGAAAATCTAGGTACTTGATTCATTTGTGCTTCGCTTTAACCCTAATCCCATCTCTCATCCCCTCCACGTCACCTCTCAAATGATCCAGCCAATTTCTTGATGTTGGTTTAGCTCTTTCGCCATCTGTTCAATCAAACAAACTTGTGCCGATTGTGATATAAAAAGTGATACTATTGGTTCTGATCTTAACAAATTTTAACCAATCAAAATGACTCTTATTTAAGCAGCTTTTTTTTTTCTCCCAGAGGGTTTGTGGGAGACTAAGAAGTAATCACAAACATGGCGTCTTCTCCGGTCTACCCCAGTTCGCCAACTGGCACGTTAAAAAGGGACGCCTCGAAGAAAGACTCTGGCAAACTTGGTTGGGTTGGAACACTCACTCGAAGGAAAAAGGGCCAAGAAGGTAGGCTTCTGTGATCAAGAATTTTCTCTTGAATTATTCAAACCTCTACGATCGACGGATCTTGACAGTTCAAATCAGATGTGAAGTGCCTTGTTCATTTTCAATTTGGTTCTTTGTTATGCTTCTGTGTACCGTCTGGTCTCCCTTGAAAAACTCAATGAGGAATCCCCAGCAATTTTTGCGGGGATTCTACCTTTAAAATTCAATTTTCACTTCAGAAATACATTGGCTGTCTGTGAAGAAAACATTCGATCGATTTTTGTAAATTCCATTGTGAATTCCAGCATTTTAACACACCCTTTCCTGTTTCCACGCAAAGTATCGATCGTGTATTTTTTCGATATACTGAGGTAATTCAGAGAGAAACATATTTTCCGATTTAGCTGTTAAATTTCGGATTTAAATTTCGATGAAATAATTTTCTGCAGGTGTGCTTTCATGTCAGGGAATCTCCTCTTTTTATAGTAACGTCTAAACTTACACTCGTAAATAATTTAACAGATTCATCAAAATATGGTAGTGGAGAGATGGAGAGATCTATCTTTGTAGAGATTTGTTTTTAGTAGTTGTAGACTTCATGCTTTAGTTTTAGAGTGGTGCAATGACACCCATAATTTTTTTTTCTCTTCTACACTTTCGCGGTAGACAATTCTTTTAATTTTGATGTAATTGTACGTTAACAAATTTGGTTTATTCTTACAGTTGATGAACTTGAGACAGAGGGAAGGCATGCCATTGAATCTCCAACAACACCTATCACTGTGACTCCAGACACTTTTGATCTAGGTTTGTGGCTTGTTTATGTATTTATTAGTCAACACAGTCATCTTAACCCCTAAACTCCCAGTAGTGATTAACATGTAAAGTCTCCCTATAATATCCACACATTATCTAGCAGACAGGTATTGAGAATACTCAAACTTATCAGGTAGACATTTTTAATCTTGATCAAATGCCAAATTTCAAGGAAAGATGTAGTAGTAGTTTCAGAGGGGAGAATTAATAATCAGATCTTGTGAGATGCAGGGCTAATAGTCAAATGCGATCGCTTGCTCTTTGTGTGTGCTGCATGATTCTCGACATGGAAAAATTTTTCAAAGTATGTGTTTTTTTCCCTCAAATTTTGCACTTAGATGAAAATGAAGAACGATCAATGGTGGAGCCTGCTTCACTTGAAAATATAAAGCTCAAGGAATTGAAAGAGGTAACTAAGAACAATGATGAAAATTTTTATTTGTGAAATGATTTTGATGTTAGGACAGAAGCTGGCTGTCATGACAAATAAATACACATGACATGACCAGCAACAATACTGGATTATACTACAGTTATACACAAACAATAAATGATATTATAGGACTGAGTAGAGTCCAATTCAGTTTGTAATCATTTTAGGGATTAATGAAGCGTGAGCCGGATTTGTCAATTATGAATATGAGTATAGTTAGAATTGGGCTATACAAAGTCCTGTTATCAATTAATTAATACTATGAGAAGTAGGCTAGCTATTGTTTTCATGAAAAACCACATTTATATCAGCAAATAGCATGACAACAGCAGTCCAGTTACACACAGGTGTTACACATACACTGTCCAATATCACTGTCCAATCACATGCATTCGTACATGCTCCTATAAGCACAGAAATTGAGCTGGAATTTTGTTACTTGGTAAATCACATGGGGTGTCAAGTTTGACACCTTTTGGATTTTGTGCCGGGTTATATTGAGAGTATTTCTTTCTATATTTTTCTATTTATACACCAGATAAAACCCTCACTGTCTCCTGATGTTTAATGTCATGCTTAATTCCTGTCTTACTGCAATTTGTAAGGAGAATCTATTACTTTATCAGAGGTCAATGAAGTCTTTCTCCCATGCAATTCCTTCATGAGCCCCTTTTTATGCCCGCTAGGTGCTGCTAGACTGGATTAATGACGAACTTTCAGAACAACGAATTGTCCTCAGAGACATTACAGAGGACTTGTATGATGGTCAAATTCTTGCGGTTCTTATGGGTATGTTGCCAGCATAGAATGTACTCATGTTTGCACCTACATATGAATTTATTTTCATGGTGAAGCTTCAGAACTGCAAACTGTCCTCAGGGACATCACAGAGGACTTGTATGATGGTCTTATACTTTCTGTTCGTATGGGTCTGTCACTAGCTTAGAATGTACTCTTGTTTGTAACTATATACAAATTTATTTTTGTGGTGTGCATTGTAGCTTTGCTTGATGCTGTATACTTGTCTAAATCTCACTGTGGTGCAATTATTAGCTCTTCATAGGGAGCTTTTAAATTGCTGCTTTGTTATATGATTAAAATTATTTGTTTATTCAATGATGTTGGCATTTTTTGTTGTTGTTAGATAAACTTGCAGGGATCAAGCTCTCTGAGTTTGAAGAGGTTACTCAGTCAGTGGAGAGCCAGGTAGGTAATGTGTGAAAAAACAAACATAATAAAAACAAAAATTGGCAATTCTGAAATTTGGCAATAATAAAGTACTAGGTATATTTCAAGGGTTTCCATCCCACCCAGTTCTAATTAGAGGGCCATTCCTTCCCCACTTCCAATATCTTAACTTATTCAGACAGGACTTGCATATTTTGGCGTAGCTTATATATATGAGCAGGCCCTCATTATTTGTGCTGCAGGACATGTGTTTCTCCACTTGTGGGAAAATTTGAGAGAGGTCAGGTAGATTTTTGCCAGGGGTCTGCCACCAATGTGCTAGACCCAATGTCTTGCATTTTTCAGGGGCCTGATACTTTCCCCTTAGGCAAAAAAAACACTTGTGCTGAAACTGTGAATAAGGTGCAATTGCAAGCTAACTTTGGTATTCCATACAAAAGCTGTGTATTCTGCATCTACCCAAAAAGCTAGTCTGATGGGATAATGTAATCTACCTTTAGGCAGACTGTGAATGTGTTGCACTTAAATATTGAGCAGTCACTTGATCTGTGTACTACTAAACTTCCAACATAACTGATTTTCATCCTGCAGAAAGCCAAACTGTCTATTTTGTTGGAGCATGTGAACAAACTGCTAGGAGTCCCCCAGCATAGAGCAAAATGGTCAGCAAATGGTAAGTTTGTAAAAATTATGAAAAGTATCTGTTTGGCACTTCTTTCAGGTAGAGAGATTTAATGAAAAGAAAGAAAAAAATATCCATTAGGGTTATTGTTTGATTGAGGACCAACTTCTCATCCCCAAAATTATTAGAAATGTGTTGCAAACAGTGTGGAGAATTTGTGTTTAGATCATAGGAATGAAAGGGTCACAACTTGTACCATAAACACTAACATGGTTCAGGATGCAGGAGTTTAACAGGGATTGCTAGAGATTAGCCCTTTACCTCCCATTACTGACCAAGACGGATTTTCTTCTTTCAATATCAATACAATATCAAGCAGTCAAGTGATGAGATTGAAGAAAAACATACTAGCTGTTCCAATACTAACTTCTCAGAATTAACTTGATAAGAATTGTGTTGCGCACAGAAAGGAGAACTATTAATGAGTTCTTGGGAGCGAAACTGAGGGTTGACTTGAAAAGTCTAGTTTCAAATTTTTAATATGCTCAAACCAATGCCTCAAATCATGCAAAAATGTTCCTTGTATGTCCTTTTTTTCCTTTTTTTTCCCACAGCTATTCATGGTAAGGATATTGTGGCTATACTTCATCTGTTGGTTGCCCTGGCTCACCACTTCCAGTGTCCTCGCAAACTTCCTGGAGGTGTCCGAATAAATATGGTGGTGGTACAGAAAAAGGGAGGAATCCTGCTGCCGAACAGAATTGTGGAGGAAATTACAGCACCTAATGAAGGCGAAGAGTAAGTTGTGATGGGGGGTAATCTTATTGATTTGTTTCAAGGGTGGGACATAGAAAGTAGTATTTGAAAGTTGGGCCTTCAAGTTGTGTGGTCCCCTGTTTCTTCCCCTTAGCTCCAGAGAACTCGTTATCTAATATAGCATCTAATTTCTCTTTACACAATCACCCCTGAATCAAACATTAAGGTCATGAGAATGAAGGATATGATCATCACCTAAAGATGCTCTTGATTGGTTAACAAATTCTCCTCGTCAGCACCTTAGGAATTGTTTGGAGAATAGTTTGGAGAATATACTTACTGATATTAGGGTGTAAAGGGTTAACTATTGCAAGCGCCCTGTATATGGCTGGGATCAGAGATGTCCAGTATGAGTAAATTTCATCTTCAGTTGTCGCTCAGAGGGAAATGTTAATTTCGGCTTCACAGCATGACAATTACTCAAATATTGAACCACGGACGGTGCTGCTGTAGCACCAGCGTATAGAATATCACAAAGACGCACATTAAAAACCCATGTTTATTACAAAATCATCAAACTGACAATTATCGCTATTCCAGCTCATTCAAATCAAACAAACCGAGAGCTGAGCAACCATTGGCAAACATTATGGTTTGAGGGGCGGCCACTGAGAAAAACGTGTCGGAAAAAAACCCTGTAGGGGAAAAACAGACGGGAAATCTGGGTAGGAACTGGGCCCAAGCTCATAAAGTCATCTTACTAGGCTATATACATGAAAAAAACTACGAAATGCGACAAATTGGTGTCGGCCTAGAATGATTACCCACGTGCAAACGCAGGGTTATCATTCTAGGTACCTTCACGAAAGGGCTTAGGCCAACGCCCTGTTGCTCTCGTGCCGCAGATACATATATTTTTTTATTTAAAATTTATATTTTCCGGCTAATTCGTCAACACTTGAACGCCAGAAATTCCATTTCATTTGTTACAATCATGGCAAAAAAAATATAAAAAGAGAAACAGCTACCTGTAGATCTTTGGATGTCGTGGTCTGGTTTTTTGGTAAGCTACACAGAACTGGATTTTTCGTTAACCCTTTAACTCTTATGAGTGACCAAGACAGAATTTCTCCTTACAATATCAATACAATATCAAGCAGAAAAGTGATGAGAAAGAAAAATATCAGTTAGGGGATTATAAGTTGATCCAATACCAAATTCTCCAAACTAACATCACAAGAACGGTATGGCAGATAGTTAGGAGAATTACTAATGAGATCTTGGGAGATAAAGGGTTAAGCCATGCGCCTTATATTGGTTAGTCATGTGTGACAAGCGTGTTCTATGTTACTAGGATCGAAAAGTTGAAAGCGTCGTCAATGGGTTAAGAGGGTTGGAGAATTTTAGCTCAGTTGAGCGGAGGAAGATGAATAATTTGTGTTTGCAAGGTGGAGTCTAATAACTCCATCCGAGTAACTTGTGCGGAGTACGGCCAGGGGAAACCTGTTCCAGGCACGACAGTGAACGGCGCCAGAGTAGCAGAGGAGTTAAGAAACGAGTGTTAGCTCAACTCAAACTGCCTTCACTTTAACTCCGCCGCTTCTAACTCGCCGTTTACTATTTCGCCCTGTTGTCGTTATTGAACGTCTGGAACATGCTAGGTGATGGGTCGAAACGTTTGCAAACTATAACACCAGGGGTGCGGAGAATGTGCTACTCCCTCACTGAAACCTGAATTCCTCTTTATATTCCTTTTAAAATGTTTCTTTTTCTTCTTCCTTTCCTTTCTTCAGTGTACAGAACGGTAAACCAGGTAAGGAAAATTTTCTCTGTAGATAATTTTTACAGCAGTTTTTTTTGCGTTAATTTTTTTCTCATGTTCTGCGCCAAGCAAGTTCATTACACTTACAGTGCGATTTATACGTTAAGGTTCATTTTATGGCTTGAGTAGACATGCTACTCTGGTAAACAGCATACCAAAGCCTTTAAATTTCCCTGACCTACAATTGGTCTTTGTTGCTGGGGGTTTTCTGTGCGTTTCGAAGCGTCCAGCGGAGGTGGAGTGAAAACAACCGGCGAAGCCGAGAGTAGTTTGGAACGAAAAGTAGTAGGTAGTTTTTCCACCCGAACCTTCGCTGCTTGTTCTCGCTGCTCAACCGCCCTTATTTTCATCGAGCGCCCAAAGGAGAGTGGTGTAATGTATTAGTACTTGTATTCTGCGCTAAAGAGTAATTTTTTTTTTTTGGAGCCACCTCACGAGCAATAAAGTACACCTCTCGCACGCACGCACGCTCGCTCGCTCCAATCTCCCGAGCTAAAATATGGCACAGAAAAGGACGTGCAATTACAGGAGATATTTCACTTTAACTCTTGCCGTTTTTTTATGTACAGCTTTTGTTTGTTGTCATGAACTAACTTTCTCTTAACTTATTTATTTGTTTATGCGTAATTCACTTCGCCTTCCTTGTTTTGCTCTCTGTTATAAATATAGAAAGAGATGCCTTTGACGCGCTTTTTGACAATGCCCCTGAAAAGCTGAATGTTGTGAAAAAGGTACTGTACTTGATATTACTGTATGCAGTTCAATCTAAGTAAGAGATTCAAATGAGCATATCAGTTTCCACATTACTAAAGCAAGAAGAGTGCATCAGAGAATTATCAGTGAATTATATTCAAGACATCATGTACAGAAATCAGAATATTGGGCGGCTAGTTCCCGATTACTTTTAGGCGACGGTATTCCTGAAAGATACTTAAGTCGGTGATATTGACAAACGGTGCGACATCTTGAATGGAAGTCATCATCTGAGATTTGAATGCTGTTTAGGTCATCGAAATCTTAGTCACTGGCATTGATCAGAGTCAACTTTTCCTGGGCGATCACATCACTCGGTTGACTAGTACTCACGGGTTTAAATCATTCACTGAGCAGACAGTGGAAATTCAGTGCGCGAGAATAACTGAGTTAAAAATTTAATACTCAATGCTTCCGAGGTTTTCAAGCCGAAGAGGTTAATAAAGGTGTTCAGTTAACAGGAATATGAATTTTTGCGCGTGGAGACGCGGTGGCCTTATCTTTAGTAAGCTGGACTCCGGGTCGCGCGATTTGTGACTTGGTTGCGTTCTTGGGTGGAACACCTTACTTTCACAGTGCCCATCTCCACCTAGGAGTCTTATAAGTACCGGCAAATTTTCAAGGAAGCCTGATAAAATGCTGGAGGGTAACCTTGCAACGAACTGGCATCCCATCTAAGGAGGGGTAGTGATACTCTTAGTCGCCGTATGCTGTGGAAGCCGCGATAAGCTCCGGATGGATGGGTCACTTAGTTCGATTACAGACTTAAGCTCACTGTTACACGCCAATTTTGGTCAAAATTAAACTAACGTTTTTTTCCATTTTGTTTTACTTTTTTTTTGCAGTCATTGCAAGTCTTTGTCAACAAGCACCTGGCCAAGTTGAGTCTAGAAGTTGTTGATATTGATTCTCAGGTACTTAAACACTTTTGTTGACCGTAGGGCACATAACTCAATCTTGAGTTTTTTAGCGATTGTTAAGAGAAAAAAAAAAGAATTAGCATTTTCAGGAACTTAGAGGTTTTCAGTGAAAAGCCAGTTACCGCCGTTTTACCACCGCATGTTTTGGCTCATCGCCGTCTGTTTAGCCTACGAGCAAGCTGTCGTGTTTGGATTTCGCCTTTCGGGGCGTTTTCTAGGCACAGCCGACTATTACGTCATCGGCAGCCACTTAGGGAAGAAGTTTTGAAAACTTCCTGGGGGACCTTCTTTCTCCGTGAGCATGAAGTTGCGTGGCTCAGAGAAACGATTGCGTGACTATTGTTGCAGCCTTTACAAACGACAAAATGAACGTCTTGATAATTGATGAAGTACGGGTGCGCGTACAAAGTAAAGCGATTGCGTAACTAATGTTGCAGCCTTTACAAATGACAAAATGAACGTCTTGATAAATGATGAGGTACGGGTGCCCGTGCAACATAAAAATGTAGTTTCACTCCGAAACGACTTAAGTTGTATTTGTTGTGTTTTCAGTTTCACGATGGTGTCTACCTCATCTTCTTGTTGGGACTTCTGGAGGGCTTCTTCGTTCCACTCTATCAGTTTTACATTACTCCTGCAACCAAAGATCAAAAGGTACAGAGCTAACATCGAAGACGAACAAATTGTACAATTAACCCTTTAGTTCTCAGAAGTGATTTACTTGTAACTTCCTCCTTAAGTATCTGTACATTTTTCAGCAAAAAGGATATGAAAATATTCTAACTCATCAGGTAGAACTAGTTGCCTTGATCTTACAACAAATTCTCAAAACCAATTCACAAGGAAATGTGTAGCAGCTGAAGGGGAGAATTGACAATCAGATCTTGGGAGTTAAAGGTTAACAAACAGATTCCATGTTGCCGTGCATCTGTTCACTAGTAGAACTCAGATGATGTTAAAATTTGGCAGTTGCACACGATGTTACTGACATTCTCATCACATTTTAACGTAATCTGTGATCTATTATTGTACAGACGCACGGTAACGTGGAACATATTTGTTTCATGTGATAAAGAAGTAAAACATGGGGGGAGGGGGGGATGATGTCATTTATGCGTCTGTCCCCCAATAGATCATGAGTGAGAACCAATCAAAACTCGCGTAGAATTCAGCTTATTATTTAACCTTTTACCTCCTAGCATCAGTATTTAGTTGGTGATCATTTTCTTTATTCTCGTGACCTAAATGTTTGATTCAAGAGTGATGTTGTAAGGAGATATTAGATGCTTGTCACTCTTAGGGGTTAAAGGGTTTATTCCGTTTTAAGTCATACGTGTTTCCTGTCACAAGTTCTGTGGGGACCGCTTTACATTTATTTATCATGCTGTTTTAGGCACAAGAGACACCGTTCCTGGTCTAAGCAGTTCTTCGCTCTTCCTAGTAATTTCACTTTAATTGGTGGGGTTCTAACAGTGATCTTGCCTCTTTACACCATAACATCAGTATGCATATTCTTCATTTTGTTCTCTGCACGTTTCCAAAGGTTCCAACAAGGGGAATCGTGAATTTTTTTTAGTTGGTAATAATTTCCTTCAATCTTGTGACCTTAATGTGTGATTTAGGGGTGACATTGTGAAGAGAAATTAGAACCTGTCACTCCGGGGGTGTAGGGGTTAAGTGATCCTGGCACTGAAATACGAGGGGTATCAAATACCGCAGAGTGTCAAAGCTGGCTAAAGTGGCCAATTTACGTGATCAACTCAGTGGATTATACTTTTATATGAGGCAAATATAAATTGGCCCAAGCTCCGGTTGTGACATGATCATCTTGCGAAATAAGAATCATGGCGAAGTTGTATGTATGGGTTTGTATGGGAATATTTACGACCGCTCCTAGGAATAAAAAATACAGTCAAATTCTCAATAAAAATACCTCGCCTTACTTCCACAGTGCATCGCTTGTTATCTGACCGCTGACTATATTGAAAAGAACCCATTTTGGCGAGTTATCCATCTCTAGGTTTACTACTCGTAAGAAAAGGAGAAGTAATAAACTCAGAAATGGATAAGTAAGTAATACTTTTAATGGAGGCAAGGTGAGGTATTTTTAAAACTCTTAAAACTCTAAAATTTCGTCATGGCTCTTATTTCGCAAGATGATCATCTCACAGCTGGAGCTTCGGCCGACTGTGGTGATAGTCTACCAACGACGCAGCACCTCAGTTTCTTTAGAAACTTATCCCCTTTATTGAAATACATAGATTCCATTGTTGTGTTTCTATCCACAGCTCCACAATGTAACCTTAGCTATTGATCTGATGAGAGACAGTGGATTGAAGTTCTATGCCAAGCCTGAAGGTATGGACAAATTGTAAAACACTCTGCAGGAGTCCATTATCGAAGACAATAATACTTGTTGTTCTTACCTTCCCCACCCCCCTCCCCCTCTGACCCTGAACTTTTCCATAGTCTTACTTTGCGTGACGCTTTGCCTTGCAGATGTCGTTCATAAGGATCTCAAGTCCACATTAAGAATCCTTTACTGCTTGTTCCAAAAGTACAAGAGCCTCAAGTAGTTCAGACTTCAATCTGCCATGGCTTGCATTTTAGAACAAAGTAGCGACGAGGAAGGAGACTCCAACCTTATTGTATTAGTTAATATTTATCACTTGTCTGAGTTGGTTAGATTTAATAACTACTCTGCTTAATACCTTGACAGAATTCGTCCGAAATCTCCCTTTCGTTTGGATGAAGACGGACAATCAGTTATTGGTGAAAAAAAAAACAAAACAAAAAAACAAGCAAACAACCATTTGAACAGGAAAACATATAAAAGACAACAAAACTATGTAAAGGCAAAATGATAATTTTTCTACTCAAATGTTCCATTTTTCACTAACAACTCAACATGTCCACACAAATGGACCTATTGACACGTGTAGAGATAAATTATTTGTTGGAAGCCATTTCCCACGCCGCACGTCTCCGTAGTGCGGCCAGAACGTTTTTTAATTCACAATCGTGTGAACACACCCAAGCATGATATGAAATACTGCCGGAAATTGAATATTGATTGTGGCGCTAGTTCACCAACAACTGTCACGCCATCCTGTAACCTTTCTCTACAATGATGTGGCGTGACAAACACTTACGACAATAATTGAGGGGTGGACATATTTCTAAAATGCGTGGCTTCTTGTAAACAGCCACTTTGTTAAAAATATTTTGTAGATTTATTTTTATACAATATTTTTTAATAAAAATAACTTTGTGTTCGATTAAATTTCCATGGGGTTTTCGATTACAGCAATCGAGGAATAACCAAATGAGGGAAAATTCAGAAAGTTACATTTAATTTTTCTTTAATTTTTTTTGTATTTATTCCTACTTTATTATGATTTTTTTGGAGCTATTTTGTATTTCGCTTTTAACCCTAAGTTGGGTTCAAATATCCCATTTCTCCTCCATTAAAAAAAAGTCCACTCTAACTTTCACAATTTCAAACCTCTTTTCTCCCTTGGCTTTTTCGCGATATGAAAATAAATGAAAGGATTTTAAGATAAATAAACCCCTTTCTGGCTTGCAAGTATGTCGGTTGATGATTTCTTTGTCTGAGAGTGTCCACAAAATTTCACAATTGTGCCTTCTCTCAACTGCGGAAATTATCAGCCGGAATACTAGCCGCCCGGAAGAGTTTATTCAAGAGTTGGAGGCGTTAAGCGATAAAGGGTTTGGTTTAATTATCTGCCCACCTTTCCCAAGGAGTTTTCGGTCTTCAAATCCGGTTGGAAACGCCACTTCCTACATTTTCAAAGTGTTGTTTACAAGCTAAAATTTTGTAGGAACGTTTTTATTCAGTATTGTTCAAATTTCTAACCCGTAAGAAATTTGTGATGGTCGGTTTACCAGGAGAGACAAATTTATCAAGGGTTTCGAGCAAAGCAAGGGTTTCTCCCGGCCGTAAATTTATGAAAATCATATATGTGAACTGCGAATTCAGAAATGAATACGAGAGCGATCTTCGCAGTATTGAACACTACATAAGCAGTAGTGGAATTAAGGCTTGAAAAAATTCAGGCCTGAACAGGATTTTAACTCATGACCACATAGATACTGGTACAGTGCTCAACCAATTGAGCTAATGAGTCAACTGAGTCATTATTTTGGTTCATAATAAACCCTTAAAGTGAAGAATAAATGACTGTGAGTGTATGAAAATCATATATATGAATTGCAGTAGGTTTACTGCTTAAGTGGTATTCATCCCTGCGAAGGTCGCTTTAATATTCAGATTTCTCTCTAGAAGATGGAATGATTCTAAATAACACCAAATCGTTTGTGTCCACGTGCTTATTCTTACGTATGCGACAAAATGCAAGGGAACTCGGGGAACTTGATCTTAAGTACCAGGAGAAAATAATTGGACTTTATTTTCCTTTGACTTACATATAATAATTAGGCGTGGAAGGACATGCGTTACGTAATTGAAAAAAAAAACAGATAATGATTGAGCGTGGAAGGACGCGTTACGTAATAGAAAACATTTTTTGGTCAAAACATAGAGGTGGTAAGTCAGTTCTAACGAAACCCTTATGCTGCAGTAGTGTGTGGAGTATTACGTTATAATTTGGTTTTATTAACTTCTTTGATATTGTAAACTAGCCACTGTTAAGAGTTTCTTAACTGACGTTTCGAGCTTTAGTCCTTCGTCAGAGCCAGTAGAGGAATTGTGGGTTATGTACAGCGTGTGAGAGAACGATGGAGCCACGCTTTGTCCAACCAACCGATTGAGTTATTAAAGAGTGATTTTCACCCACAAACATTTGAATTGAACCTTAAAGCAATGAAAACTGTTCAATAGCTTTAAAAAAGTAGAATTCATCATGATTTAACATTTCTGTTCACCATAACGAAAGAAACTAACCGTTAGCTGTAAAGCGACCAAAATTTTTTAACTATTAGCTATCTGAAAACTAAATAGCTCGTGTTAACCTTGGTGTAAGTCGCTTTAGGCGCTGTGGATTCCTTCTTGAAAAAATTCGTGCGTGCAAAATTAGGGAAAAAAAAGAAAAGCGTGCTTTGTAATCGCCCTTCGCTTACAATCAATTCTCATTCTTTTTCTTTCAAAGGCGTCCTCAGGCCTGCCAAAAATACTTTTCAAACAGCTTCAAGCCGCATTTTACTACCTGTCGCCTCAAGTGTGGTTTAATTGATTATGTAGTGCTTAATTTCTATCCTGAGAATAATGATAAATTAGTGGAATGAAAACGCATAAAAGGCTTGGACCGAAATGAATGGTTCTTTCATACGTTATTTAAGAATTTGTCCATGCTAAGCGTGCGTATATCGAGTTGTGGATGCACGCGGGAAGTTTGGAGAGCACGAAAAATGCGTAAGAGTAGCTCGAGGCGCAGCCGAGAGCAACTCTAGCTTTTTGAGTGCTCTCCAAACTTCCCAAGTGCATCCACAACTCGATATACGCACAGCTCAGCTGCCATGAGCCGTGGTTTTACGGACTATTACAAAATCAATTCTCTTACAGTGAAAAATGTATTGACAACAACAACAGCAGACTCGTTGATTAGCATAAGAAATGGTTGCCGATTGAAAATTTAGTGCCGCTTTCTCTATCAACAAACAAACTAAAATTATGGTTAATGATCTTCCAGATGGTAACGGAAACTAGGAAACCGTCAGCAAGGAAAGTCTCATCCTCATTGTCTCTTTGGTGACCCACGCAAACACCGGCATCAATGAAAGCAGTTATTGTGATCTTTGCTTCCTCCTCTGTGTTAATTGCTAGATATAAATTGCCGTAGTTAAGACATCGCCGGGAACTGAAACGTCCATTAATACCGATATCAGCACTTCTAAACACACCGCTCTGGTCAAATTAAGGTAAGGGATGTGATCCAAGCTCTTTCATTTTTCAGTCATTTTTTTCTTCGCTTACTCTGGGGGTCAAAATTTATCATGCAATTAAGTCCATCTGACCCCACGTTTTGCTGCAAGTGATGCTGAGGCTTCTTGGAAGCCAGAAACTCATAAGTCCTAGAGTTGCCCAAGTGAGTCAAGAGCGCGTGATTCACGAGAGAAAGGGAAAAAAAGACGTTGCTATGAAATTTATATAATATTCTCGTCGACAAAAACTTTTTTGTTTTGTTTTGGACAACCTTATCAGAAAACTACCTGAGTCTCAAACAAACCCTCATTCACTAAACGAGTTTGGATATAATTAGTGCTCCTGACTGAGGTATCGAGAACGGAAAATTCAAACGAGTTTCATGTTTACAACTCAAGTATATCTCAGAGATTATTATGGTCTTATCTAAGCATTCAGTCAGTAAAGCGGAGCACGTTAGATAGCGGGACATTTTGCAGCTACTGGAAGCAAAGGTTTTGAAGTAAAACTTGAAAGTCTCGAGCGCATGGAAAAATTTTATATCTAATTTGGGGAGAAAACGCGCAATTTTAAACAACATCTACTCAAAATACAATTTGCGTTGTCGCGTAATGGGCTTCGTGCAAATTTTAAGCTATATCTTTTTTTTACTTTTAATTAATCTATCTTAAATTTTTCTGATTTAAAGAGAGTTATTTTTACACCAAGATTATGACATTAAGACTAGGTGATTCCCTAGGAAATAAAAAAAGTTATCGAAAAATTATTTTTAACTTTCCTTAAATGTTCCTTACCAATTCTGTTTCGAAAATACAATTTAAGGGATAGGTCACCATGCTTGTTTAGGAAATATGTTTATGTCTGTACTGGTGCTAGTCACGCGCGTCATTTTATCGGTTCACGGTACATTTTGCTTTTTAAATTAAAGGTTTTTTTAAATTAACACTTGAAAAATTTTAATAAGTAGAAATTCTCGAGCGCATGGAACAATTTGATACATAATTTGTGGGAAAATCACGCAAATTTTAACGACACCGACTCAAAACGTTCCTCGAGTCGTTCCTTTCAAGGTCACAATTGCATCGTCGAGTAACGGGCTTTGTGCACGCTTTTAGCTTTATCTCTTTTTCCCTTCGAATAATTTTTTTTTAATTTCCCCAATTTAAAGAAGATAATTTTTTCAACAAAATTATACCAGAAAAAATATCAGTCACTGTGCTCCTTCTAGAGCTTAGACCATCGTACTTCTTAACCTGGTCCTCGGATTGAAAAACAATACCGTGTTCTCGGAATGCGCGCGCGCTCAATCCCCTGATTACGTGATTTTTATGCGCAATACAGGTGCAAAACTGAAGAATCACCTTATGATAAATTTTGACGGAGCCACCCTCATTATCCTATCGCAAAGGAAGGTCATTAAAATATATTCTGGTCAGAGCTTGGCTCTGAGGGCTGAAGACTGAAAATATCTTGCGAGTTGCAGGATTCGCTCAGGCCCGTCGGCACTTTAAAACGGAACGCTGTTTTAACGAGCGTTTTATAGAAGCTAAATTTCTTGACTCGACCCAAGCCCCTTTTTTTCGCTCCACCACCACTTTCCGAACTGAAAGCCTGAGCTAGGGTAAAAGTGCGAAAAAAGAAAAGGTTGTTCTGTTCCTTCGTTTCATATATGAACGCAGCTACTCCATTGGTTACTTAATTTCGTGATCATGGAATATTTTTAACAACAGCGCGATGGTCGTATCATGTTGTTCTATGAAGGAAGCTATTCGAGAAGCCCTTCGCTTAATTCCAAACGAACCAGCTGTGAAGGGTAAACAAATGATTTTTCTAATTATTTTTTTGCACTCCTTCGCCGCACGTGACTCGCACTTCGCGCGCGCCTCGCACGCGTCTCGATTTAACTGGAAAGCTCAAAAAAAATTACGACTGTCCTGCATGCTAGTAGAGCTGATACACACGGAGGGTTTTGCGCCCAAGTGTTGCTCTGAGCGCATACTTCAGAAGCAAATTATTTGTCCTTGGGAGCCGAATTTTTATCCCACAAATCGCTTCAATATTTATAATCGACTGATACAGTTGGAAGGATTAAAAATGCCCCCTCGTGTGTACCTACGGTGAAAAATGACTCTAGGGAATGCTCCAGAAGTAAATCCCTTTGTGTGTATCATCATTTGCTTTACGCTTAAGGCACGTGAACAAACCACAGTAAGCCCAAGCTCACGATTTGAAAACTCATATAAACGTGTCATCAAGCAATTTCAAAATTAAACACACCTGTTGTCTTACTTAACCGGTCAAATAATACAGTTAAGGGTCAAAGGTAAAGTGTTGTTGAGACTGGGCGTAAAAAGCGAAGATTCATTCTCCATCCACTAA